GCTAACTGCACAAGGCTCTGCTACATTTTACAGATGAGTAAACTGAGGCTGGAGAGGTGAAATGACCTGCCCAGTCCCCAAGCTGGGCAGGTGGTGGCAGAACTGGGAGGCTGACCTTGCCCATCTTGCTCCAGAGTCTGTGGGCCTGGTGCAGTCTCTCTGCTGTGTTGTCTCTCTCCCTTTCCTGGCCTGGAAGTCCTTTGTTCTGTATGGACAGCTGAGTCCTGCACACCTGGGTGGGAATCTGGCATGGTCAGCATGGGGCACATCTAGTCCATTCCCGAGCCTCGCTCCCCTCATCTGTGAGAGGGGGACCTTAGGGCTAGGGTTAGGGTGAGACCCTTGCAGACAGTGAGTGCAAATGCCACACCCCTCCCAGTTTTTCACTGGCTCCCCTTGTTCTCTGCCAGCTCTGGCCCACTCTCCTTTGCCTGGCTCCCGCCTTGGGACCTCTGGCAGGTAGGTATTCAAAGCTCTTCTTGTTCTGCCCAGCATACTACCGGAGAGCCCAGTCCTCATCTCCAGCTGTGCCCTAGGGAAGCTCAGGGCCAGAGCCAAGCTGTGGTTAACCTGGTGCCCCTCGCATTCTTCCCTGTCTCCACCCCTGAAGTTAACCTGCCAAGAACCTCCCTCTGTGCCAGGCACTCCCTGCCCCTGACCTCCTGCATCCTCACCCCTGTGGACTCTACCGGACTGGAAAACTTATTCCATAGTCCTCCATTCCTCAGGAATCATTACCTCCTGTCCCTCACCCTACTCCTCCATGGTCAGAGCTTTCTGTCCACAAGACAGCAGCAGGAGCTGTCAAGATGCATCTTCCCCAGCCCTACCTCACACCATGTAACACATCAATTCCTGATGGACCATCAGCTTAAGAAGGTTGGGTTGAGAGCAGTTTTTTTTTTTCTTGTTTGTTTTGGTAGTACTAAGGGTAGTACTAAGAACAGATTATCTTTATGATCTTGAGCTGAGGAAGGAGCTCTTAAACAAAATGTTAGAAATAAACTGTGAATCAATTTGACTCCATTAATATTGGTTATTTTTGCTCATTAACGGTTCCAGAAGAAGAAATAAGGAGCTAGGCCGGCACCTCAGAGATCTCTTATCATACATAGAATTGACAAGGGATGTGTATCTGGAATACATAAAAAAAAAAAACCCCAAGAATCAACAAGGAGAAGGCTACCAGCCAACAGGAAGAGGGAGAGAAGATCTCAGCAGGCCATTTGCTGGAGGGAGGATCCCAGTGACTGTCCCAGTGCAGTGGCTTCCGGCTCCAGTAGCAGCAGCACCCCTCCCCCAGCCTGGCTCAGTTCCCTGCCCCTCCTTGCGTGACCTCACAGGGTCCTGACCCTGCACTGCCCTTGCCAAGTGCAGAAGGAGAAGTGGTCAGCAAGAAACCACAGCAACACTGGGATTAGAACCCGTGTCTGTGGCTCTGGGGCTACAGATCCCACAACACACATAGGGAAATGAGTCAGTGCAACTGCTGGGTTCTTCCCTCTGGGGTTCCTCTTGGGGTTTCAGTTCTGCCTGCCTGATGACATTTGGAGGGCAGCGGAACTGGTTGGGAGTGGGGAGCCATTCCTAGGAACTAGTTCTGTTTGGAGCAGCTGGGGACGAGGTTCTTTGGGTGCTTCCCCATTCTCCAGCCACCAGAGCAGTTTTGGGGTGCATATGCATCCGTATCCCTACTCAGAGCTTCCTGGAAAAGCACACTCAGGAATCTCTTTCCCTCCTCCAGCAGCCCCACCACTGGGGGTTGGGAGGGGATCCAGGGATGGCCAGGCACCATCAATGCCAGGCAGTAGCAGAACCCAGTTTCCAGAACAGGCAGTGGCTTCCCAGGGGTGTTTCTGCTCTGACACTATGGTGTGGTCCACCACCCCCTAACTGCCTCTCTCCTACGTACCCAATGCTTTTGCTACATGGAATTCTTATTCCAAAGATGCACCACATCATAGGCCTGTCCCCATCCTGTCCCCTGGCCAGAAGTGGCCCCGAGCTCCTACTTCCTTCCTCCTGGAAGCCTGCCTGTCTACAGCCCCCAACCCCCATCCTGACACCCCTGCCTGCCTCAGCTCCCTGCCCTCCCCCTTCTTTTTGGTTTTTTGAGACAAGGTCTCACTATCTAATGCAGGCTGGCCTTGAATACACTATGAAGCCCACACTTCAACCCACAATCCTTCTGCCTCAGCCTCCCAAATGCTAGGATTACAGGTGTGTGACACCATGCCCAACTCTCACCCTCTTTTGTGCCAGCTTTCACCAGTCAGGGCTTAGATCTGTCACCATCCTACCTCTGGCCTTGGAGACACAATCAGGTCACTGTCAATTCTACACAAAAGACATAGTAGCACAGCCCCCACCACAACCCCATTGTCCACCCCCACACACTCCCTAAGAGCACTGGAAGGACCTGGCGTTGCCTCATGCTAGGGCTATAATTCAGAGGCCAAGTCAGTGAAGGGTGGGAATTGTGACAGGTTGAATGCAGGAGCTGGCGAGTACTGCTTTATGGGAAGCACAGGCATCCCTGGGAGAATATTAGTGAACAAGGCACAGTGGCAAGGAATGCTCGGCCCACGGGCCTCTAATGTGCAACCCCTGGCTTCCCTGTTCAGCTTCCACACATCATGCTCCATGCCAAGAGTGGTGCCCATATTACCCTGGGCCTTGCAGCTAGGTCACCAATGGTGTTCCCAAGGGTGGGACCCACTTCCATGGCTGTGGCCTCCAGAAAAGCTGTTCCTGATACCCTTTCCATATCACCTAGGAGCACACGTCCCCACAGCACCAAAATGAGGACATCAAGCGATCAGTCTCCTGACTCCCCTAGAGACTGGGTTTTCCCATTGTGCTGAGAACCCCAGGCTGGAGTGGGAAAGCCAGACTCTCCCCGCCGCCAACTCCTGACAGTGATAAGGCAGCGTCCCTCTCTACCCACTGTGCTAGGGTAAGGAAAAGACAGCTGTGAAACATAAGACTAGAATGTGATCTAGAGTCTCAACACACAAGACCTCAAATATTCAAGTGCCAATAAAAAAATCACCTGTCACAGTAAGAACCAAGCAAATCTCAACTAGTATAAGAAAATATCAACAGAAGCC